GGCACATCTTGGGGTGAGCCGTTCTGGATCCCCATGTGAGAAATGCTTACCTGTCCAATTTCAAATAACAGACTCAGAGACAAATATGGGAGAGAGAGAGAGAGAGAGAGAGAGAGAGAGAGAGAGAGAGAGAGAGACTTTTCATATGGTCTTGCAAGAGTGGTGTCCAGCTGAACAGGCACACAGGGAGCAGCCATGACAGGCTATTCATCCATAGGAGGTGAGAGTCCGTCCTCCGGTCCCCATTGGCTGAGTACTATGGGGTTAATAGTTTTCCTCATATGTTGCCTGGGTCTGTTGTCTGCTATTGGTTATGGAAAACAATGGACCAAGGCCTTTTCTAGAAGCTTCCACCGCCCTTTGTCTAGGTGAACCTTCCTTAAATGTGCTGCTTGTCATGGACAGTTCTTTATTCTTACACCCTCCCCACCTCCCCGTATTCTGTTTGCCCCGGGAAAGTTCAGCAACCGTTTCCATTAAAAGTTGACTTTGTGGCCGACACCGGTTTGGCTCAGTGGATAGAGCGTCGGCCTGCAGACTGAAGGGTCCCCAGTTCGATTCCAGTCAGGGGCATGTGCCTTGGTGGCAGGCACATCCCCAGTGGGGGGTGTGCAGGAGGTGGCTGGTTGATGTTTCTCTCTTGTTGATGTTTCTAGCTCTCTATCCCTCTCCCTTCCTCTTTGAAAGAAATCAATAAAGTATATTTTAAAATAAATGTAAAAATAATAAAAGTTGACTTTGCTGAGGATGGATTGCAGAGGCCTATTTCCTACATCCACATCAGCTAAAGGGTATTTTGGGTTCAGGGGGTTAAGCCTCCAATGTCTGGGCTGATAGTGAGTCGTCATATAGGCTAGGCTCTAAGTGTTGCTGGAAAGGGACGGGGCCAGAGCACCTGCCTCATGCCAGCCTGTAGCGTGTGGGCTGTTGATTTTTTGCAGGAAAGAGTCACGTTTATTAAAGCTGGGACATGAGACAGGAAGGGCCTGGTTTAAAAGGAGCAGCAGGAGCGCTGAGGCGAGGCGGGCTGCTAGGTTGCAGAGACATTATGGGGAAGAAGTGAGCCAGGAGGAGCTGCTGTGCGCTCACTGGAGAGTCAGAGGAAAGGGGCCTTGGGACCAGCTACCGCTGCCTGTTGCTTCCCTGGTTGCAAGAATCCCTTAGAGTGTAGGGGGAAGGGAGGGGAAAGGAGGGAGAGGGCGGGCTGCCCCTTTGGGTCTTTGTCCGGAGGGTGTTAAAAGCTGTGGGTCTAGGGGAGGTCTCAGGGGAGGATCTCAATTCCAGGTGTGTCTTTGCAGGGTCAGGGTCTCCCCTGATTGGACAGCTCCAGGGCAGGGGGTCGTTAGTCTCCCAGCCAGTCCTGGCATTGCCCTCCTGGGTTTGCTGCTTTCCTGGGCCCGGAGCTGAAACACCACCGAGGCCTCCATGTTGTCTCTGGGGAGGACAGGTCAGGGGTCCAGCCTGCTTGACCAGCTGTGCTGGGGAGGAGGCCCCGGGGAGAGGTCCACACCAGCTTTGCCCCCCCAGGACACTGAGCTTCCTGCCAGTAACCTGCTGTGTCTGCTGTGGGTCGCTGGCCAGCTTGTTCAGCTCTGTCTCAGTCCCCACAGCCCACTTGCCGGAGACTTGCCGAGCTTCCTGCTGTCCTGCCTCCTCAGGACAGAGCCGGTCTGGGCAGTTGGTTCTGCTGTGCCCAGTGCTGGCTCTCATGTGGCAGTTCTGGCAGGTCTCCCCGGGATCCCAGCTGCAGCTCCATGCTGAGGCTTGATATGCTCCCAGCTGCCAGCCCTGGTGCCCCCTCATCCTAGGCACCGGCATCCACCCTCAAGGGTCCTCACAATCAAGTCCTGTTCGCAGGCTCCTGCTCTCTCTCAGAATCAGGCTGATTGCCCCCCAACAAAGGTTTGCTGCTCACACCCGTCCCCTCATTTTTTTTTATTATTTTATTTTTAAAAATATATTTTTATTGATTTCAGAGAGGAAGGGAGAGGGAGAGAGAGATAGCAACATCAACGATGAAAGAGAATCATTGATCAGCTGCCTCCTGCACACCCCACACTGGGGATCGAGTCCACAACCAGGCCATGGGCCCTACCTGGGAATCAAACTGTGACCGCCTGGTTCATAGGTTGACTCTCTACCACTGAGCCACACCAGCTGGGCTCCATTGATTTTTAGAGAGATTGTAGGGAGAGACGGAGGGGAAGGAGAGAGAGAAACATCAATTGATGCCTCCCACATGTATCCCAACTGGGGTCGGGGATCAAACATACAACCCAGGTATGTGCCCTTCACTGGGATTTGAACCCAAGGCCCTTCGGTGAGGCCAATGGTCTAACCATTGAGCCACATGGGCCAGGGGCCCCACACAGCTCTCTTGACTCTCTTGGCAAAAAGCAGCCCAGGCAGAGGCCATGTGGCACAGGGACTATGGCAGAGGCCTGGGCTCAGGTGGATGTGGATTTGAATTCCAATCCTGTCACTTACCAGTCGCAGGCCCTTGGGAGAGCTACTCACTGGTTCGTGTGGTGCTTGGCCCAGAATAAGTGCTTTGACAAGCAGAACAAACCGGCCGCCTGGCCCACAAGCCCCGAGGACAGGTGCTCACCCTCAGAAAGCGAGCCTGCCCCACTTTGCCTCCAGACACCTCAGATTGGAGTGGAGTGGATCCCAACCCCTCCTCCAGCTGTACCATTCTGAGGCTGAAACCTCAGCTGACACCCAGCCGGAAAGAGCCCCGTTATCACATCCTGCCACTCTGGGTCTGGGGCCAGCGGAAGACAGGGAGGGGCTGGGAGGAGAGGTGCAGTGGCTCCAGGCCGGGCCGGGCCGGGCCTGGGCAGCTCCCCGATGCCATCCTAAGTGTCCCATGTGGCCACGGAACCCCCTCCAGCTGCCTCCTGGTCATGTGACAAGTTCCCGTTGTCCCCGGAGCACTTCCTCCCTTCCAGGCTCATCCAGGGCTCCCTGCCCGCCCTGGAGCCAGACATCTCTCCACAGAGACTGAGGGTGGTCTTTCTGGTGGAGGACGGCGCTTAGAAACCAGGAGGGAGCGGGCCTGGGTGCTTCTTACTGTGGAGGTGTCACTGCTTCTAGACGCTCTCTGCAGACCCAGCCAGAAGGGGGAAAATGTGTATAAATATATATATGTGTGTGTATATATATACACACTCACATATATACATGTGTCCACTCACACACACACATTATATATACAGGTATCCACTCAGTTAATATAAACATACTCATCTTATATATAAACCCATTCTGAATATTATACAGGGCATCCTCCAAAAATGTATACGCACGTTAGCAGCTGGTAGCTCAATAAACTCTGCCTTTATAATTATTCTAAGTGCCTGGTTGGTGTGCTCAGTGCAGGTCACAGTTCAATTCCGGGGCAGGGCAGGACATGAGCCTGGGGTGGCGGGTTTGACCCATCGTTGATGTTTCTGTCTTTCCCTCTCCCTTCCTCTCTTTGAAATCGATTAAAAATATATTTTTTAAAATAGAGGGAAGGTGAGTAACAAAGTGAGTCTGGAGAGGTGTGAAGTGGTCCAGGGGGTGTGAGGTGTCTGGGGGTGTGAGGTGTCGGGGTGTGAGGGGGTGTCTGGGGGTGTGTGGTGTCCGGGGGTGTGAGGTGTCTGGGGTGTGAGGTGTGGGGGGTGTGAGGTGTCCGGGGGTGTGAGGTGTCCAGGGGTGTGAGGTGTCCGGGATGTGAGGTGTCCGGGGGTGTGGGGTGTCCGGGGGTGTGAGGTGTCGGGGGTGTAAGGTGTGGGGGGGGTGAGGTGTTGGGGGTGTGAGGTGTGGGGGGTGTGAGGTGTGGGGGGTGTGAGGTGTCCGGGGGTGTGAAGGGGTATGAGGTGTCCAGGGGTGTGAGGTGTGGGGGATGTGAGGTGTCCGGGGGTATGAGCTATGGAGGATGTGAGGTGGGGGGGTGTGGGGTGTCCAGGGGTGTGAGGTGTTGGGGGGGTGAGGTATGGGGGGTGTGAGGTGTGGGGGGTATGAGGTGTCAGGGGTGTGAGGTGTGTGGGGTGTGAGGCGTGAGGGGGTGTGAGGTGTCTGGGGTGTGGGGTGTCCGGGGGTGTGGGGTTTCCGGGGTGTGAGGTGTCCGCGGTGTGGGGTGTCCCGGGTGTGGGGTGTCCCGGGGGGTGTGAGGTGTCTGGGGGTGTGGGGTTTCCGGGGTGTGAGGGGGTGTGAGGTGTCCGGGGTGTGGGGTTTCCGGGGTGTGAGGGGGTGTGGGGTGTCCGGGGTGTGAGGTGTCCGGGGGTGTGGGGTGTCCGGGGTGTGGGGTGTCCGGGGGTGTGGGGTGTCCCAGGGTGTGGGGTGTCCGGGGTGTGGGGTGTCCGGGGTGTGGGGTGTCCGGGGGGTGAGGTGTGAGGGGGGGTGAGTGTCCGGGGGGTGGGGTGTGGGGTGTGGGGATGGAGGGGTCAGGGGTGTGAGGGGCTGTTGGGTGTCCGGTGGTGTGGGGTGTGGGGTGGGAGGGCTCAGAGGGGTGCGGTGGTGCTGTGGAAGGGCCTGGACAGCCAGGAGAACAGCTTGGAGCGGATGGATCCAGCCCCTCCTCCTGTGCCTTCCTGAGGCCGTGAAACCTCAGCGGACACTGAGCGAACAGAGCCCATTATCACATGGGAACCGGGAACCACGCAGGCATGGCGCTCAGGGGACGTGGCAGGCGGATGGCAGAGTGGTGGGTGGTTGGGGCCTGATCTGGCAGGACGGCCGCGCAGCATCCTCCGCCGGGGACCTCAGTGTTGTCCTCCGTAAATGGGTGCAGGAGAGAGACGTCCCCCGGGGCTGCCCAGAGACTCCCCCAGGGGCTGTGGCTGTGCCTGTGCCGGGGCCCCGCCTCTGGTGACATCCTCTGCTTCCTGTTTCTCCCTGTCGGGGGAGTTTCAGTCTCAGCTTCAAATGCACAAACCCGCCCTCACAGCAGAGGAAGAGGGGCCTGCCTGCGAGGAAGCAGGAAGCCGCCGGAGCCGCCGCCGGGCCGGCTCAGGATGGAGTCCGTGGCCCTGTACAGCTTCCAGGCCACCGAGAGCGACGAGCTGGCCTTCAGCAAGGGCGACACGCTCAAGGTAGGGGGTCAGAGTGGCCGCGTGGGGCGGGAGGCCGAGAATCGGGCTCCCAGGACAGTCCCCCCTTTGGGGGCCGGCCCAGCTTCTCCAGTCTCCGGAGCCATCGAGGAAGTGGGCGGTGGTTGTGACCCTCCTGTGGGGCCCTGGGGAGGGCCACGAGGACCTGAGCTTGGTGCCTGAGGGGTTCCCAGGGAGGAGTTTGAGAAGCCGTTGGAGAGGTGGGGAGGGGGGGAGCAGGGGGAGAGGAGGAAGTCCTGGGAGAGGATGGTGCCGCTGACCTGTGGGTGAGGAGCTGAGATTTCGGGGTTGAGAACCAGCTCCCAGCAGCCCGGAGAAAGGGGTAGGCCCCACCACTGCCACCGCGTCTTGCCTGGGCCTTTGTAAGGGACGCCTGCCTGCCAGGGCAGCCGGGCAGAGGGGTCTGTGGGCTCTCTCTGGTTCCTCAGACTGCTCAGGCGCTGGGTTCAGGAGTGGCCGTGCCAGGGGGCAGGTGCCGAGCTGCCATGCCCCTCCCGTCTCGAGTCTCTTCCCGGGCCACCCACCGCCCCCGCCCCGCAGCAGTGGGCATTTGACGAGATGTCCCGCTCTGAGCCTGGGCCCACCTTGGCCCAGCGCTTCAAGCGCGCCCTGTGGTCGCCAGCCCAGCCCAGCAGCGTGCCCGTGTCCCGCTCCAGCTGCCCGCGGGGGAGGCTGGTCCCCCGGTGACTGAGCCGAGGCACAGGGTGTGACAGGACTTGTTAGAATGAGGTCCAGTTTGAACGTGTGTCCTTGACTCGTCTGTCCCTGAGGCTGAAGGACTGTCTGTCCCTGAGGCTGAAGGACTGGGGAGGTTGATGCTCCACACCAGGAACCACGTCCCCTGAGGACCCACCCCCGCCCTGTGCCAGGGTGCGGGCTCCTAGCACACCTGCTGGAGGCCCAGGGCGTGCGGCCCGGTGGGGACGGAGGCAGGCCCAGCACAGGCTGCCGAGGCCGGTCGGTGAGAGCCACGGCGGGCCTGGCTTGCCAGCCTAAACCTAGGTGTGAGGACGGAGGACGGGGGCTCAGGGGAGTGGCCAGCAGTGGAGAGGGTGGGGCAGGGGTTCCCAAGGCCATTGTAAAGACTGTAACATCCCCACGCCCTGTCACCCCGATTCCTGTGCCCACCTTTCCCACCGCAGCATTAGTCACTTCCCACCGACCTTTGCTAGAGCGTCAGCCAGTTCCTGTGTGCTTCTGTCAGGGGTGCTAGCCGCTGAGCTCACGCTGGAGCCACAGGGCACAGAATTGCGTGGCACACGCAGGCTGTCACTGAGACAGGGATGTGTCGGAGGAAGGGAGGGAGGGAGGGAGGAAGGAGGACAGGAGGGAGGGGGAAGGGAGGGAGGTGGGAGGAAGGACTCAGTGTTAGCGGGCACTGGGTGCCTTCCAGGGGGACCCCCCACCCCGTGGTGGAGGCCAAGGAAGAGGCCTTAAGCGCATAAAACGGGGAGGAGTGAAGCAGGGCCGCCTTCTCCTTGGCTCCCTGGACCAGCGCTGTGGAGCGATCCTGCCCGGCTCGCTGAGATGTAGCTGGCCCAGGACGGTGCCGGTGAAGCTGTGCAGTGGGACCTGGTACCCGTCTGTATGTGCCATGTCCTGCCGTGCGCGGGGAGGGCAGCTCACCGCCTCCCAGCCACAGGTTGCCTCCTGAGGACTTTTAAGACCTTCTCCCCTCACTGCTTCCAAATGTGCAGCAGTTACCAGCCGTGTCTCCATGCTGCACGCCACATCCCATCACTGATGTATCTTAGCCGAGTGTGTACCTTTGACCCCTTCTCTCTCTCTCTCTCTCTCTCTCTCTCTCTCACACACACACACACACACACACAGACTCTCACACACACAGACTCACACACACATGCACACGCACACGCGCACACACACACACTTACATATGCACACGCACACGCACACACACACACACGCACACGCACACACACATGCGCGCGCGCACACACACACACACACACACACACGCACACACGCACGCACACCGCTGCCTCTGGCGCCCAGCAGTGGCTCTCTGCTGAGCCCCCGAGCACCTGCTCGCTCCGGGCACTGTCCTGCGTGCGGAGGCACAGCAGCAAGCACAGCGGAGCCTGCGCTCCTGGGCCTGACAGTCCGGAGGCCGCTGACTCGAGCCCAGCGGGCTGAGGAGCCGACACGGGAGAGGGAGCACAGCGATCACGGCCGGGAGCGGCGCCTGTGTGAGACCTGGAGGAGGAGCAGGGAGCGGTGTGCAGGCCGGGCTCTGGCTGGGCAGACCTGCAGGCAGGCCGGGGCGGGACCTGCTCACGGTGGGAGGACTGAAAGGCCGGCCTGCGGCTGAAGGCAGGGAGCAAGGAGGTCGATGAGGCAGGGGGCAGGAGGCAGGGGGCAGGGGCAGGAAGCAGGAGGCAGGAGGCAGGGGGCAGGAGGCAGGGGGCAGGGGGCAGGAGGCAGGGGGCAGGGGGCAGGAGGCAGGGGGCAGGGGCAGGAGGCAGGGGGCAGGGGGCAGGGGGCAGGGGGCAGAGGGCAGGGGGCAGGGAGGCAGGGGGCAGGGGGCAGGAGGCAGGGGCAGGGGCAGGGAGCAGGAGGCAGGAGGCAGGGAGGCAGGGGGCAGGAGGCAGGAGGCAGGGGGCAGGAGGCAGGAGGCAAGAAGCAGGGGGCAGGGGGCAGGAGGCAAGGGCAGGAGGCAGGAGGCAGGGAGGCAGGAGGCAGGGGGCAGGGGGCAGGGGGCAGGGGGCAGAGGGCAGGGGGCAGGGAGGCAGGGGGCAGGGGGCAGGAGGCAGGGGCAGGGGCAGGGAGCAGGAGGCAGGAGGCAGGGAGGCAGGGGGCAGGAGGCAGGAGGCAGGGGGCAGGAGGCAGGAGGCAAGAAGCAGGGGGCAGGGGGCAGGAGGCAAGGGCAGGAGGCAGGAGGCAGGGAGGCAGGAGGCAGGGGGCAGGGGGCAGGAGGCAGGGGGCAGGAGGCAGGGAGGCAGGGGGCAGGGGGCAGGGAGGCAGGGGGCAGGAGGCAGGAGGCAGGGGGCAGGAGGCAGGGGGCAGGGGGCAGGGGGCAGGGGGCAGGAGGCAGGGGGCAGGGGCAGGAGGCAGGAGGCAGGGGGCAGGAGGCAGGAGGCAAGAAGCAGGGGGCAGGGGGCAGGAGGCAAGGGCAGGAGGCAGGAGGCAGGAGGCAGGGGGCAGGGGGCAGGGGGCAGGGGGCAGGGAGGCAGGGGGCAGGGGGCAGGGGCAGGGGGCAGGGGGCAGGAGGCAGGAGGCAGGGGGCAGGGGGCAGGGAGGCAGGGGGCAGGGGGCAGAAGGCAGGGGCAGGGGGCAGGGGGCAGGGGGCAGAGGGCAGGGGGCAGGGGGCAGGGGGCAGGGAGGCAGGGGGCAGGGGGCAGGAGGCAGGGGCAGGGAGCAGGAGGCAGGGGGGCAGGAGGCAGGAGGCAAGAAGCAGGGGGCAGGGGGCAGGAGGCAAGGGCAGGAGGCAGGAGGCAGGGAGGCAGGAGGCAGGGGGCAGGGGGCAGGAGGCAGGGGGCAGGAGGCAGGGAGGCAGGGGGCAGGGGGCAGGGAGGCAGGGGGCAGGAGGCAGGAGGCAGGGGGCAGGAGGCAGGGGGCAGGGGGCAGGGGGCAGGGGGCAGGAGGCAGGGGGCAGGGGCAGGAGGCAGGAGGCAGGGGGCAGGAGGCAGGAGGCAAGAAGCAGGGGGCAGGGGGCAGGAGGCAAGGGCAGGAGGCAGGAGGCAGGAGGCAGGGGGCAGGGGGCAGGGGGCAGGGGGCAGGGAGGCAGGGGGCAGGGGGCAGGGGCAGGGGGCAGGGGGCAGGAGGCAGGAGGCAGGGGGCAGGGGGCAGGGAGGCAGGGGGCAGGGGGCAGAAGGCAGGGGCAGGGGGCAGGGGGCAGGGGGCAGAGGGCAGGGGGCAGGGGGCAGGGGGCAGGGAGGCAGGGGGCAGGGGGCAGGAGGCAGGGGCAGGGAGCAGGAGGCAGGGGGGCAGGAGGCAGGGAGGCAGGGGGCAGGAGGCAGGAGGCAGGGGGCAGGAGGCAGGAGGCAAGAAGCAGGGGGCAGGGGGCAGGAGGCAAGGGCAGGAGGCAGGAGGCAGGGAGGCAGGAGGCAGGGGGCAGGGGGCAGGAGGCAGGGGGCAGGAGGCAGGGAGGCAGGGGGCAGGGGGCAGGGAGGCAGGGGGCAGGAGGCAGGAGGCAGGGGGCAGGGGGCAGGGGGCAAGGGCAGGGGGCAGGGGCAGGGGCAGGGGGCAGGGTGCAGGGGGCAAGGGCAGGGGGCAGGAGGCAGGGGCAGGAGGCAGGGGGCAGGAGGCAGGGGCAGGAGGCAGGGGCAGGAGGCAGGGGGCAGGGGCAGGAGGCAGGAAGCAGGGGGCAGGAGTGGGGCTGGGCTCTGTGAAGTGAGCTATACTCAGAAAGGCTTCCTCAGCGACGCTTTAGAAGGTAACAAAGCCCTGAAGGGTCCCGGGTCCCGTCCAGGCAAGGGCAGGTGCAGGGCGCGTGCGGGAGGCACCTGATCGGTGTTTCTCTCGTTTCTCTTACTCTGTCTCTGAAAATCCATATTGATGCATTGCTATTAACTTAATACGTTATTATTAAGATCATATTCAGAGTCTGTGCATTCATCCTTATTTTTTAAGATGTTTTCTTTAATACTGTTTATCTTGACTCCTGAGATGTCTGGAGTTCCACCTCGCACTCAGGGGGTGGCTTCCTGTGACTGTAAACATGTGACGGTCCCGCTTCCTCTCCTGGTGGCCCTTTCCGAGCAGCACCAGCAGCTGGGCGGGCGCTGGCCCCCGGGCCCGGCTTCCCGAGCGCAGTGTGGACCAGGCTCTGCACAGCCATGCCCACCATCCCGTTCCACCCCCTCTGCCCCCCAGCCCTCTACCCCCGCCCTGCCGCCGGGAGCCAGTGAGCAAATCTGTGCCCTCGTCTTGGAGAAAACCTCGGTGGCATGCTGTCCCGCCTGGACAAAGGGCCTCAAACACTCCCCGGAGCAAAGACCCCTCCTTGTTGGGCCGGCATTTCTGGGGCCAAGGTGCCTGCTGCTCTAGCTGGAGGAGAGTGTGGTGGTGGCTGCACCCCATATCTCCAAGGGCAACCTGGTCTCCAAGACCCAGACTCCAGGAGCCTAGGGCCACCTTGGCATTTCCATGGGGAAGGCCAATGGCACCTGGGACCCTCCAGGCAACCCTGCCTGCCTGCTGCCCCACAGCTAGTCCCCGCAGACTCAGGCCAAACCCTCAGAACTGTCTCAGTTCTCCCTGTTCTTCGCATATCTAACCACTTCCCGGCCTCTGCCCCACTGGCTGCCCCCTCTGCACTGCTGGCTGCTCCCTCTGCCCCACTGACTGCTCCCTCTGCTCCACTGCTCCCTCTGTCCCACTGCTGCTCCCTCTGCCCCACTGGCTGCTCCCTCTGTCCCACTGCTGCTCCCTCTGCCCCACTGGCTGCTCCCTCTGTCCCACTGGCTGCTCCCTCTGCCCCACTGGCTGCTCCCTCTGCCCCACTGGCTGCTCCCTCTGCCCCACTGGCTGCTCCCTCTGTCCGACTGCTGCTCCCTCTGCCCCACTGGCTGCTCCCTCTGTCCCACTGGCTGCTCTCTCTGCCCCACTGGCTGCTCCCTCTGTCCCGCTGGCTGCTCCCTCTGCTCTGCTGGCTGCTCCCTCTGTCCCATTGGCTGTTCCCTCTGTCCTGGCTGGCTGCTCCCTCTGTCCCATTGGCTGTTCCCTCTGTCCTGGCTGGCTGCTCCCTGTCCCCTTGGCTGCTCCCTCTGCCCTGCACACTGTCGCCCACATCTCTCCACCTCCGGTGCCTGTATTCAGGGTCTCGGGAGGTGTTTCTCCGCCACCCCATCTGATTCCTGTTGCAAACCTCCTGCCCCAGCCCGGCGTCTCAGCCGGCGTCTCAGCTATGGTATCCTGTTGTTCCCGGACCACCTACTGCTACATTCTTACCTCGTTGACTTGTTTCCTTCCTTTCTAAACACTTTCCCCCCTTTTTATTGACTTTATTGGATGCAACTGTTGAACAATATCATGCAGGTCTCAGGTCACAGCTCCGCAGCACATCATCTGCACACTGTTCTGTGCTCACCAGCCCAAGGCAAGCCCTGTCCGCCACCACATATAGGCCCTCTACCTCCTCCCCATGCCCCACCTCCTCCACGCCTTCCTTCCTTCCTTTCTCATTGCCTTTACCGCCAGGAGGTGAGCTCCCCTTCCCTGCTGTGTTGCTGTAGCGTCAATCAGTGATGCTCAGGAAACAGCAGGTGAGCAGACAGCAGACTTCCTGTCAGGAAGGGCGAGCAGGAGGGGGGTGCACTGGTGAGAACCAGCCCAGGCAGATGGCCAGTGCCCAGGCACAGGAGGCCCGTGGCCGGGGAGGGCCCTGCAGGGGGAGGCGAAGGGGGAGGCCGTCGCACTCGCAGGAATGCCATGTCTCTGAGGGTCTAGGGCTTCTGAACCACATTAACAGTAAGAACTCAGCTACTGTCCACAATGAGAACACCTCTGGGTCCTCAGAGTGAAGATAACAGAAGGTAGAGCAAGATAGCAATTGGATTAAATGTTTTACATTCACACGTCTGCGGGACTTGGAGTCCACAAGGCACGGCCACGCTGGGTGCAGGCGCGGCCACACCCACTCCCCAGGTGATGAGCAGGCGGCGTGGCGAGGTGGGCAGACCGCGGGCTAGAGCCCCCAGCTCCAGGCCTCTTCCTGGAATCTGTGCTTGAATTTCCTAATACATTGGAAAACTTGTTTTGTTTTGCTTTCAGCAAAAGTTTTCCTGAGTCAGCCACCTGCTTCCTCTGTCCCTGGGCTGCTGCCCTGCCCCGGCTGCGGCCAGGAAGGAAGGACTCGCAGCGCCCGGGGCAGACGAGGGTGCCAGCTGGCCTGGGTCAGGCTCAGGCCTGGGTCCAGGGAGTCCCTCCCAGCTCCTCCTGGAAGATGCCTGTCCGAGCGCTGGCTCAGGCAGCCTGGCCAGCGCCCCTCGGGCCGTGCCCTCCCAGGGAGGCTGCTCTCTGCCCCGTATTTCCACTCAGCAATGACCCCACGAGGACCCAGCCACACGGGGCCTGCTGCAGGACTAGCAGGAGAGACGCCCTGCCAGGCTTGGGACCGAGACTAACTGGGAGGGAGAGGAAGAGTAACCTGGTGAGCTGAGCTGGACCCCAGGCCCGGAGTCCTGCCACTGTGTGACTCTGCCTGCCCCTCCCATCTCGCCCCTCCTGCCTCCCCCTCTGCAGCCTGGCTCACCCCCTGGGGGCTGTTTCCCCCATCTGTGAAGTAGCCCTGGGCCCTGTGACCTCAGACGGTTGTATGGAAATCAGGCTGATTGCCCAGAGAAGGGAGGGCTCTGGGGGCCTGGCCAGCGGGTCCCACAGCCACTTGACTGCTCACCCGCAGCGACTCCCACCCAACTCGGCTGTTTCGGTTCCTCTGGGCCACCTGTGGGTGCGGGGCCTCAGGCTGTGAGCCAGGAGCCGGCCAGGCATCAGCCTCACCCAGCCCAGCACTCTCCTCTCCCTGCTCCCAGGGCCTGAATGCACTGCCTCCTGCTGAGTGGTCACCCCGAATCAGACTGTGAGGGCGGTGTGAGTGCAGGCAACCCGAGGGGGCCCCCAGGCGCGGAGCCCAGGCAGGGGCACTGGCCTCCCCAGGACGCTGGCCTGCCCCGGGCTTAGTGCTGGCGGGAACCTGTGGGACCCTGCGCTCCAGGCCAGCCCAGGGCCCAGGCTGCGGGGTCTGGGTGCCTGAGCTTGAGCCTGAGCCCAGCTGCAGCCCCGCCGGGGACAGGCTGGCCTGGGCGGGGGGTGCAGGACGGAGGAGCCAGGCCTGACCCCCCCCCCCCCCGCCTGTGGCAGCCCCCTGTGGAATGCCCAAGACTAACGGGGTCCCTGCAGGCGCTGAGCAGGGCTTCTCTCCAGTGGCTGATGTCTCTCTTCCTGCAGATCCTGAACATGGAGGACGACCAGAACTGGTACAAGGCTGAGCTCCGGGGCGCCGAGGGCTTCATTCCCAAGAACTACATCCGGGTCAAGCCCCACCCGTGAGTGGTCATCGCCCCAGCCCTGTAGCTTAAGGCACCCCACACCCTGCCCTGTGCAGCCGAATGTCCCCACCGGCCCAGCCCTGCCAGGTGGGAGTGAGGGGGCAGGGGAGTGTGCCGTTCAGGGCATAGGAGGGAGAGCAGGGCACTGGCCAAGCAGAATCTGGATCAGGCGATGGGGCTTATGTGTGGGGCCCAGGTGTCCCAGGGCTGGGACCTGCTGGCCCAGGAAAGTCCTAGTCAGGCTCCCAGCATGCACCCCGGCCCTGAGAATGGCGGGAGCGGGTCCTGCCCAGAACAGGCCTCAGTGGCCAAGACTCTGGAAAGCCCAGCTGCTCACTCAGCCAGTCGCCAGGTCCTGGCCAGCCTGGACCTGCTGAGCTGCGGGGGCGGCCTGCAGGGCCAGGGCAGAAAGCACAGGGGGCGGAGGCAGCACTGAGCAGCCCCCAGGAGGCATCTGGGGAGAAGTGCAGTGAGTGAGGCTGTGAGGGTGGAGTTAGCTCAGTGGAAGAAGAGAAGGCCGGTCAGGTGGAAGGTGCGAGAAACTGAGGGAGAGCCCTGGGGAGGGGGTGGGGGAGAGGTGAGGTCTGAGCAGGCGAGGGACTCAGTCAGCCGTGGAGGCCAGGGGCCCGGCCAGGCCGGCGGGTCGGAGGGGAGGGCTGCAGGGCCGGAGAGTTCCCTCTCCTTCTGTCTCTGGGTTATTTCCAAAACTACCACAACCTGCGCTTCATGCGCTGGGCCAGGCCCTCCCACCCAGGGCCCCAGCCCGAGCCCAGCCCCTCCTAGGGCTGCAGCCCCCAGCGGACTCCAGCCTGGCCCGGGGCTGCAATCTTCCTGGCAGTGAAGGGAGAGCCTGAGGGAGAGATGGTGAGACCCCGCGCAGGGCCAGAGGGAACAGGCAGGGTCCTGGCTGTGGGCTGGGGGGTCTCCAGGTGGCAGTGGGACCAGGCAGACCAGAGCCCGAGACCCATAGCTGCTGAGGAGTCCTGAGTGGGGGGAGGGGGGGGTTGACAAAGGTGTGGCCGGGGGCCAGGCCTGTCGGGCAGGCTGGGGTTGAGGCAAGGATGCACCAGGCTGTGGGGGTGTGGACTGGTTCCAGTCCGCAGTGACCCTGGGCTCAGCTCTGGCTCTTGTCTGGACAGACAGGAAAGGGGTTCAGCCCACAACCCGACCAAGGCCATGCCCAATTCTGTCGGTGGCTAACCGCAGCCCTGGCCCCAAAGCAGTGGGGAAACTCCAGCTCTGCGCCTGGCCCAGCCCATCAGGCCTCAGGGTGAGTGGAGGGCGGTGCAGGGGGGGCAGGTTCCCTTAAAGCCCTGTGCCTCCCCCAGGTCCACTTCCCCCTGGGCACCCAGCACCGTGCACACCTGCCCCGGGTCCCAAGGAGAACTGCCAAGGAGGAGCTTCGAAGTTAGAGCAGAAGTTTGCCAGGGAAGACAGCAGGCAGACCTACGCAAGAGATGCTCAGGGGGAGGCGGCGCAGGGGGAGGGAGGGGAGGGGGATGGCTGGAGCTGGCTCAGACAGCAGCAGCTGCAGGACACCCGCGTGCACAGCGGCATAGACAGGTGGAGAGGGCCAGTGGCTTGCTCAGGTCACTTGGCTGGCGGGAGGCACAGTGATCTGCAGCAGGCTGTGGGCCTGGGCTGTGGGCCTGGGCTGTGCTCCCAGGAAGGGCGGGGGGAGGAGGAAGCCCTTATGAGTAATGGGTTGAGGGAGAGTCTGAGGTCAGGGACTTGCTGTAATCTTCTCTGGCTGTTTCCATGCCGGTGAGCCTTCCATGCTAGGTGCCGGGTGGAGGAGCTGGCGGGGAGAGAACCGGCTCTGGGCAGTGAGGTGGGCCTGTTCAACCGCCCCCGGGAGAGGCCCGGGACCAGCTGGCGCCCCCTGGTGGGCAGGGCTGGCCTCCTTGGAAGGTGCGGTGGCCACACCCTTTGGGGGTGCTGACACCTCCTGTGGGGTTTGTGGTTCTTTGAAGACACGAGGCCCTCAGGACACGCCCATGCGAAGCCCCGTGGGCCTGCACCTGTGTCCTGCTGGGCTTCCCCGGCGGCCTCCATGGCCAGCTCAGCCTCTGGCGGGGGTTGCGTCCAGGACCCCCGACTCCAGGGACCCAGGCTGCGCTCCCCTTCCCCGCTGCTGCTCCCAGATGCCCGCTGTCTGGGGCAGCACTGGGTCGGCACCTCGCTTCTGAGGTGTGGGCTCTCGTGGAGGCAGGGCCTGAGACCGGGGGCGGCCAGGGCGTGGCTTTGGAGTGGGAGGGGCGGGCAGGAGCCGGCGGTGCGTTAGTGGGACCGGGGCAGAGGCTCAGACTGGAGAGGCTCAGGCTTTCAGGCGGGCAGGGCTGGGGCTGGCTGTTTGTCCACCTGCGCCTGGTCACCCGCCGTCTCTGAGTGTGCCAGGCTCAGCACCGGGCCGAGTGTGCCAGCCCCCAGGGAAGCCCTGGGACAGAACCCCAGTGTTTGTTGCACCTGCCATTGACCTCGGTGGCCATGGTCCCACCAGGAGACCGGCTGCTCCGGCCACCGTTCCCACCCCTCCCCAACAACGAGGGGCTGAGGCCTGGACTCCGAGCGGGGGAGCCAGGCCGGCAGGGGATGTGTTGGGGACAGGAACGGCCTGGAGCCCTGCAGCAGGTGGGCAGCCTGACAGAGAAGCCGGGTCCCAGCCTTTCACTCCCAGACCCTGAGGGTGGTGGGGACTTTGCAAGATTCTAAGCATTAATCAGGCACCTCCTGTACACCCAGTTCTGTTTGGGTAGCAGGAAGAGGGACTTGTACCATAGAGAAAAGCCCAGGTGTCCACAGTCTGTGCATCTGTGAAATGGGTATAGGGTGAGATCCTTCCTCGTCAGATCAGAGCTGCTGTTGTTTTTGTCATTGTTTTTATTTTACTTTTTCACTCTTAAGAATCTGTTATTCAGCCCTAGCCAGCTTGGTTCAGTGGATAGAGCATTGGCCTGTGGACTGAAGGGTCCCAGGTTTGATTCCTGGTCAGGGCACATGCCCGGGTTGCGGGCTTAATCCCAGTGTGGGGCGTGCAGGAGGCAGCCGATCAATGATTTTCTCTCATCACTGATGTTACTATCCACCCCTCTCCCTTCCTCTCTGAAATCAATAAAATGATATATATATATATATATATATATATATATATATATATATATATATATATATATAAAAGAGTCTACCATCTAAAATGGAACAGCTCAGCTGGGTTGGCTGGGTTTGATCTCACCGAGGTCTGATATTTCTGTTTCCCTGATGGGATGTGTCTTCCTGGTCTGGTGGGAAGGGATTGGCCCCAGAGCCAGAAGGCTGGGGTTGGTTCCCAACTCCTCCTGCCACAGCACGTAACCTTGGGCTCGTTGCTTCATCTCTGTGCCTCAGGTTCCTCATCTGTAAAATGGGTGCAATGGGATCTCGTGCATTTCGGGACTGCTGTGAGGATGAGCGATGCTGAGCACTGGGCGCAGAGAAGGCGGCCGCCCCCCCCCCCCCACTGCCTCACCTGTCTCCTCTCCGCAGGTGGTACTCGGGCCGGATTTCCCGGCAGCTGGCGGAGGAGATTCTGATGAAGCGGAACTACCTGGGAGCCTTCCTGATCCGGGAAAGCGAGAGCTCCCCAGGGGAGTTCTCCATCTCTGTGAAGTGAGTTGTGGCCTGCGGGGGGCAGGCAGGGGGCAGGCGGGGGGCAGGCGGGGGGCAGAGGGGTGGGGAGGCAGCCCTGAGCTGTGCCCAGGCGCTGGTCAGGCTCGCAGACGGAGGAGCAGGAACGGCGCCCCAGAGAGCAGCAGCCAGCAGATGCCGGCAGCTGGCCATCGGGGTGAGGGGAGGGCACCCCTCCAGGCGTGGCCGGGGCAGGGAGGACGGGCCCCCAGTGCCAGGCTGAGGGTCTGACATTATTCTACGACCAGTACGGGTCCTCAGGGAGGAAGAAGGTGCCGGTGGCTCATGTGATGGGAGCGACTAGGTCAGGAGACCCTGGGCAGCAGGGCAGGCCTTCAGGGTGTGCTCGCACAGGGGGGACCTGACCGGAGCAGGGCCTCCGGGGCGGCCGGCATGTGTGGTTGCCGTGGTGCAGGGAAGAATTCCCGCGTGAGTCCAGGTGACTTTGCGGGACGCTGACTGAAGCTGGGCAGTGAGACAGGAAGGGCCGGGACAGAGGCAGCAGGTGAGCCGGGACGAGCTGCCGCTGCCCATTGCTCCCTGGCTGCAAGTCTTGTGTGTCCCGTGGAGAGCAGGGGCGCCCACTGAGGGGAGGGAAGGCAGGGGAGCTCCTGGGAGGGAGAGTGCTGGCTGGGTCCCTCTTGAGGGTTTATGGCTGGGCATTTAGGGGAGGTCCCAGGGGAGAATTTTAGAATATTCACCAGCTTTCCAGGGCTGTCCCTTCAGGGTCGGGGTCCCCACGGACTGGTAGGCGCCAGGGCAGGGGTCGTTGGTCACGGCAGCTGGTCCTGGTGCCGCCCCTGGATTCGCTGCTCTTCTGGGCCTGGAGCTGGCACGCAGCTGAGGCCTCGCTGTGATCTCCAGGGAGGCGGCTTCCGTGTCCTGTGACCTGCTGGCAGTGCGCTCAGCTCCCTGTCTCACTTTCCCCTGTTTGTTCACCAAAGAATTTTCCCAGCTCCTTACTGTCCTGCCTCTCATCTGTATGGGGACATGGCAGAGAGGACGGACTCTGGAACCCGGCTGCTGGGTTCAGATTCCGGCTCTGCCACTTCCCGGCTGTGTGACCTTGGACAGGCCACTCACCCTCTCTGCGCTGGTTTCCTCCCACGTACAGTGAGTTATTGCAAGGATGAACTAAGTTGGTGTATTGAGAGCCATTAGAACAGGGCCTGGAGGAGGCAGATGTCCGGCTCTGAGACAAGGCAGCTCCTCGGGCATGGGGGTAGCCGGGCCCCAGGCCACATGGGGTGATGGGGGTCCAGGCTGGAAGGACTGGGGTGGCGGGGTCAGGCCCTGGTGGTCTCTGTCCTCACATCTCCAGTGTCTGTGAGAGAGGGAATTTCCCTCCCTGCCCCTCTCAGTGGTCCTGGCTGGTCAAACAGTTAAAATGCATGAGACGGACTGACTGCAGAGAAATAATCAGATTCGTTCACATGTGCACAGGTGGGGGCCCCATAAGGAGAGGCGCCTGCAGTCAGACGGGGTCAGGCTGAAGAGAAAGGAGGGCAGTGGTTTGGGACCTCACGGGCAGGAGGCGCTCACGTGGAGGTGGAGAGCCAAACTCTGGGCGGGGAGGCACCCGCCGGGCCGTGGCTCCCAGCAGCCCCTCCCCGGAGGCGGTCCAGGCTCGCCGGTCTGTCGTCGCCCCCCCCCCCCAGCCCTCCCGTGACCAGTCCCCTGCGAGATGCCAGTGCCTGGCGCGGGCCTCTCGGCTCTTTTAGGCAAAGGGAGCATCCACGGTTCCCCCGAGTCTTCTGTTTCTTAAAAGTAACCAGCGGACATCCCCCAGGGGCCCTCTGAGGGCAGCCTCGGCCCCCCACCCCCCGGGCCGGGGGGGTCTGGATGCAGAAACTCGAGGCTGGGCCCTGCACCCCCGCTCACTGCGAAGAGGAGATGGCAGTGCCCGTGTGGCCGCCCAGTGGCCTCTGGACACGGTGCTGGGCGGGCCTTTGCATGGCTCCTGGAATTAGCTCCAAGTCCAAGTGACCAGCAAAGCAGGGTCCAGGGAAGTCACTGGGCGGCTCCCGGAGCCTGGGCAGCGGGAGATGGGGGCCCTCCCCCTCCCCCTCCCCCCTCCCCCCTCCCTCCCACGCTCCCTCCTCCACTCACCAGCCAGGCAGCCTCCCCGCAGAGCCTCCCGCACTGCCTTACGTCGGTGCATGTCACGGAGCGGGTGCTGTGGAGGCTCACACCCACCTCTCAGCTCCTGGTGTGCCAGGGAGGGGTCCAACCCAGGGTGGGGGGAGGGTCGGCACGCCTGGCCAGGGTGCTCGTGATGAATGAACAATGAATAGGGGGTGGGGGGGAATTCAATGACAAGCGCATTCCACATGCTTGAGGAGGGAGCGTGTGCAAAGGCCTGAAGGTGGCCGGGAGGCGTGGGCCGGAGAGCCAGTTGGACCAGGAGACAAGGCAGGGCCCTGGAGCCAGCGCCGATGGCGGGGAAGGCCTGGGAGCCCCCGGGAGAAGTCCTGGCATATGCTCAGCACCCTCCGGCACCCGGGCCGAGACCCCGCGGTGAGAGCACAGGACTGCCGCCCTGCTGGCCGGTTTGCACATCCACCACTCGTGGAGTCCTTCCCCTGGTTTCGTCGCTGGGTCAGGGCTCCGGGGCCCGCTCCCACTCCCGGCCCCTCGTCTCTCACGGAGCCTCTTGGTGGTCCTTGCAGGATCGGGCGGCGATCAGAGGAGGAAACAGACTCAGAGAGCCCGGGGGGCCAGGCTGTGGCTTCGGGCAGGAACCTGCGGCTGCAGAACCTGGCCCTGTGAGCCTGTTTCCTCACCTGTAACCCGAAGGTCTGCGTAGGGTGACGCCGAGCACAGAGTAGGTTCTTCATACCTGCCAGTGACAGCATCATCATCACACAGCCCTCCGAGGCCGCACGGGGCCCCGAGCCCTGCCCCAGGCCCAGGGCGGCTGGAGGAGGTGGTGGGGAGGTGGGCGCCCCGTGCTCGCCTGGCTCTGCTCAGCCCTGCTGGCACCAGAGTCCCACTCTCCCCTGTGCTCCCATTGCTTATGGGAGACAGCAACAAAGGCCTTCCTGAGGTGACGGCTGCAGACTCGGCCAGAGCATCCCCTCCCTTGCCGGGCGGCTCCCGGGCCTCTTGCTCCCTTGCGTGCTGCCTGCTGCTTGTTCCTGCGGAGCTGTAAGCCGTCAGAGTGTGTAAGGCCTCAGGAGCCTTTACGAGTTTGCAGAGGGCTGTGCCCGCCCCTGCAGGAGCGTGCCCGCAGGCTGGGCTGTGGCTGCGCACACTCACTCTGGCCGCCCGGGCTCCTCTCGTCAATGAGACTTGGTTCCCCAGCGAGGGCTTTGCTTCCTGTTAGGTAGAGGTGCCCGGACTCAGTGCCCAGCCTGCCCGCCCCGGGTCACTGAGGACCACGGCGCCCCTGCCAGGCCCCGGGATGCAGATACAAACAAATAGAGCAAAGCTCCGTCCTTCGGGCTCTCGTTCCGCTGGGGTAAGGGGATGATAAATGAATGGCTAGGAAATCACAAACTCCTGGGAGGTGATAAAGACCTGGGAAAAGGAGGCAGGAACGGAGTGTGTGTGTGTGTGTGTGTGTGTGTATGTGGTTTTATACATGCAAAGACCGGGAGGAATTGACCCCAGAAACAGTTTACAGGTAAAACAAACCAACAACCAAAAGAACCCCTGAAGCTCAGAGAGGAGCAGTGACTTGCCCAGATCACAGAGCAAGGGAAGCGGAGCGGGTGCCCGTCGGCCCTGTGCCCTGGCAGACTTATCTCCTCTGCCACCCCTTCCCCAGACCCACCGCCCAGCCAGGGCAGGGCGACGCTGTGCCGTGCTGCGGCAGGGCAGGCAGCCCCTCCCTTGTCACATGGGGAAACTGAGGCTGCCGAAGGCCAAACCTAATAGAGACCACCGGTGGGCAGTCAGCACCCAGCGCTCTGCCAGGCTGTGCTGTGACCGTACTGGCCCTGCCCGTCTCATCCTCTGGCTACCACTGCCACCCTTGCCGCTGCCGCCGCCGCCACCCAGCCAGAAAAACCCGCCCGGCAGGACTGGCTGCTGCTCCTGTCAGGCCTGACCTGCTCCTTGCGCTTTCCCACCGGCCCAGGAGCCGGCCCAGGAGCCGGCCCAGCCCCTCAGTCCCCCCGGGTCACACGGAGACAAACGCAGCCAGAGCTGCCCAGAGAGGGATGCGCACACCCAGTCACACAGCGGAGACAGCCGCCTGGCACCCACGGCCAGGACACAGGCACGCGGCCTAGGCACTGCCCGCCGTCCTGGACCAGCTCCGCGCTGGGCTCGGAGCCCTCGGCTGCCCTTCCGCTGCTGCTCGGACGGCCCGGACGGCAGGCCGCTGCGCTCAGCCCCTCCGCCAGGGCCTGCCTGCCCCCAGAGGCCATCCTCTCGTGCCCGCCGCTCCCTGGGCGGGGGGGGGGGGGGGGGGGGCGGGCCTCCCGGGGATGGCTTCTCAGGCGCCTGGAAGGATGGCTAGGGCCAAGGCCAGGCAGAAAAGGAGGAAACAGGTTCCTGCCGAGAGTCAGCGGCGAGGCCCGGGAGCCGGGGGCTGGGCGGGAGAGACCGCCTGGTGCGCAGGCCGGGGGTCAGCAGAGGGGGGAACGGGCCGAGCCTCAGGGCGGTGTGGTCACCGGTCAGGCTGGGCTGGCCCAGCAGCCCCCTGGCTGCAGGTAGGCCCCCTCTGGCCTGCTGTCCTCACAGGGACGGGGCTCTGGGAGGGGTGGGAGAAGGGACGAGACCTGCCCTTCTCTGAGCACTACGCATTGAGGGCTCTTAAATTCTCAGGTTGGAAAGTTCTAGAATTCCTGGATCTCTTGCCCTTTTCCCACATCTCATCTCTTGTTCTCCACTCCCTGACCCTCCTATATGCTCAGGGAATGCTTGTTGTTGTTTTTAAAATTTTTTATTGATTTTTTTTTTTTTTAGAGAGAGAAAGAGGAAGTGAGAGGGAGAGTCAGAGAGAGAGAGGGAGAGAGAGAGAGAGAGAACACCCATTGGCTGCCTCTTGCATGCCCCCTACCTTGGATTGTGCCTGTGACCCTGGCCTGCGCCGTGACCCGGAATCTAGCTGCAGCCTTTCTAAGCAGCGCCGGCCAGGGAAGGATGCTTTGTTCTGAGTAACTTTGCAGGTAACAAGATAACCTTCAAACACCAAACTGTTCCAAGCTGTGGCCATTGGAGGTTGAGATCTTTTCAGCCCACCACCCCTCGCCTGCCCCCTCCTGCTGGCGCCTCCCACGGCTCCGAGGCAGGCTCTGGGCCTGTTCCTGGCTCCGGCAGCGGCTGCTTCAGGGAGGGTTGTGGCCCCGGCCGCTGCAGGTCAGAGGGCAGGAGCACCGTCCGCACGCCCTTTTCCATCCCGGACACGAACAGGGGTGCCCGGGCCCACAATGCCAGCAGCCTCGGCACCTGGAGCAACACTTGCCGACGGCCCGCAGGTGGCCTTGCTTGGGTTCAAGGCCATTGCTCGCATGGTCAGAGCCTCAGCGTTTTGGCCTCAGTTCTGTGGTGGGAACGGACTCGCTCTGGGGCTGGGCCTGTGGCGGGGCTGGGCGCCTCGAGGCTGGAGCCACAGCTGGCAGCACGGGAGGCTTCAGCAGGCTGACAGCCATCGCCTGGCCAGCAGCTCTCACCGCCCCGCAGGGGCTGCCCGCCCCAGCCCGTGGCCGTCTGGGTGGCTAGTCGGGGCTCCTCAGAGGCTGGGCCCTTTAACCTGGGCCTGAGGCAGAGTCGGAGTCTGGCTGGAGAAGAATGTGGAGGGACCAGGATGTGCAAAGCCGGGGTGTGCTTCCAGCTGGAGGGAGAGATGCTGTGTGTTTTGGACCCTTGACATGGGCAGGTCGGGGACTCCCCCTCTGCCCTCTGCCCCCCACACCACGGGGCATTTACCTTGCACAACTCTTCATCTTCAACCTAATAAAGCAGCCGCCAGGATGTGGGGGGCGAGCGGCAGGCAGGTGGGCAGCGAGCAGGTTGGCAGCGTGGGACAGACACGCGCTCCTGTCCGGCCTGAGACCTTGGCGTGCGGGCACCTGGACAAACCCAGGCCGAGGGCTACCTGGCTGTCAGTGTGCTGGGTCCAAAATCGTTTAGCGAAACTGAAATTCAGAACCCGAGATGTTCTTTTCTTTTTATAATTGAGTTTCCAGACAGTATTTAGTTCTCCTCTAGTGACAAACAGAATGATAGCATGGCTCCCTCCCAGGCTGCCCCTGCGGTGCACACACCGGGCCGTGCCCAGAAGGCCCTCAGGGCCGCCCTGTGGGCACCGGCACAGCCAGGGCCCAGGCCCCCCAGTGCTCCGTGGGGAGTGCCGGCACCCCCTCCACGGGGCGGGGGGGGGACCCCCGAGCCCCGGGGCAGTGAGCTGGGTGTGGCCAGTGGAGCTGGGTGTGGGGGGGAGAGCGCCCCGCTTGGCCGGGTGGAGAGGACAGCGGGCGCCTCCTGGGGCCACAGCCCAGGCAGGACGCGGAGGAGTAGCTCTGGACGTGGCGTGAAGAGATCTGGGACGCGATTGTCACGATGGGACCAGCATTCCTGCTGCTGCTGCTGTACAGTGATGACCAGTTGGGCATGTGTGTGACATGTAGGAGCTCAGATGTGGCCCCCCTCTGGCCAGGTGCTGGCTGCACGTGGGGCCTTGGTTTCCCTGCAGCAAAATGGGCCGTTGGCTCCTCCCCACCCGTGCGCGCCTGGCCGCCTGCAGCAGGGGGGAGAGTCTCAGTGCCCGCTCCCGCCGTCCCGACCCACCAGCATCTCCCTGGCCCCACCGGCACGTCCTGTCCCGGCCTGAATACGCACGAGTGGGAGGCCCTGGCAGGTCCCTCCGCTCCGGCCAGCGGGGAGAGGCAGGTGGTCTCTGCTCTGAGCGAGGAGTGTGAGAGGATGTGGGGCTGGGCTTGGGCTGGGGGGCTGGGTGAGGGCGGGGGCAAGAAGAGGCCGCTGATTGCATCAGAGATTATAGAGGGAAGAGGCTGGACTAGCCTAATATTGAGTTTGGGTGTTAAGATTTTGTCCTGAGGGCAATGGGGAGCCATGGACGGCTCTTTCTTTCTATTATTAAACTAGAAGCTCGGCGCACAGATGCGTGCACTGGCGGGGTCCCTCAGCCTGGGCCTCGGGGATCGGGCTGAAACCGTCTCTCCGACACCCCCGGAGGGGTCCTGGAGAGCAGGAGGGGGTTCTCGGGTTCTCAGCAGCTCCTGCATGGAGTGTCTGCCCCTGGTGGTCACTGTGCATCATAGTTACTGGTCTGATGGTCGGAGGTTTGCTTAGCCTTTTATGTATATATGCTACGGGCATTCGTGCAAGAACAGGCTTTCCATCCCCCTACTGCCGGCACTGGCTTCCCTCTGGCACCCGGGACCCGGGCTTCCCTCCAGCCACCAGCACCGGGGACCCAGGCTGCCCTCGCAAAGGGCGGCCCCACGCACCCACCACCCGCTACAGTCCACCTGGGCCTCCCTCTTTGGGGTGATCGTGGAGGCCCCCGATTGATTGCCTCGTCGGCCAGTGGCCTGAGCCTCCCTCTGCGGGGGATCCTGGGGTGATCATGGGGCGATGGCTGGGCCCCCCAACCAATCACATCACACCCGCCTTGGCTGGCCTGGTGCCAGATGGTTGTCTGGATGGTGGTTCCGCTGTTCGGCCATTCGGTCGATTTGCATATTATGCCTTTATTATATATGACTGACTGGGTGACATTGATCACCATGAACATGTAGGTTTCCGTGTCACAAAGACCTGTATACTGCACTGTGTGGCCGCCACCCAAAGTCAAATCTGCTGTCCGCACAGAAGTATATTCCACGCCAGGTCCTCAGGTGGGTGTGGGTGGGAAGGACAGCAGCACCCAACATGCCTAAGCTCCCCTCCCACCCACAGGCTTAGGCCTGAGTCAGAGCCGCCTGAGGATTTGCTCCTTAGGTAACTGCAGGAGCAGGGAGGGGACACAGCGGGAGGAGGAGGGAAGGCTGAACGGGATGTTATAGAGCAGAAATGGCCCTCTCGGCCCGAGGGGTGCTCAGTGGTTAGAGCGCCACCGGGGCACAGGTTTGATTCCAGTCAAGAGCATGTACCTGGGCTGCCGGCTCAACCTCTAGCCCACATCGGGAGGCAACCAATCGATGTGTCTCTCTCACATCGATGTTTCTCTGTCTCTAGCCCTCCCTCCCATGCTCCCTAAAAACCCATAGAAAACTGTCCTCAGGTGAGGATTAACAAGCAGAGAGAGGAAAATGCGCTCAGAGAAACCTATGTCAGGTTGCCAGGAGCCATGGCCAGCATTTTCTGAGCACTGAGCCGGAGGCAGGAGGTGTTATGAGGAAAAGGAGGGTCAGAGAGTGACTTGCCTACAGTCACAGCAAGAAGATGCCAGGTCCAGGGTCCACCCCTTATCGGCCAGGGGTGCTCACGAGGTCTCCCATGGAGCCTGGCGGGACGCCGGGCCTGCCCTCCCTCCTGCGCCGTCTGAGCCCGGGTCTCAGCAGGAGAGAGGAGGGCTGGGCCCAGGGCGAGAGGGGTCGCAGGGCCACGCTGGGCTGGAGCGGTCCCTGGCCGTAGACCCAGCCCAGGTGACCCCTCCTCCCCTGCAGCTACGGGGACCAGGTGCAGCACTTCAAGGTGCTGCGGGAGGCCGCGGGCAAGTACTTCCTGTGGGAAGAGAAGTTCAACTCCCTCAACGAGCTGGTGGACTTTTACCGAACCACCACCATCGCCAAGAAGCGCCAGGTCTTCCTGCGGGACGAGGAGCCCCCGCTCCAGGTAGGTGGGCGGGCCGGGCGGGCGCCCGCTGTGTGCAGGGCCACTCACCTGCTGGGCCAGGCCCCGGCTCCCGCATGGGAGGGGCCGGCCAGGGGTGAGGTTCCCTTCTGGTGTCGCTGCAGGGAAACAAGCGAGGCTGCGGAGGAGAGGGGGGAAGGGAGGAACAGACTGGCAATTCCCTGGGCAAACCGTGGCTGGCACACAGTAGGTGCTCAGTAAACGTCGAATGGCTGAAGGTACTGACACCTACTGAGCCTTCCGAGAGCCACGCCCTGGGCTGGGCTCTGCACTGAGCTTCCCTGTCCGCGCCGTGCGTGCGGGTGAGGCCGCTGAGGGAGCAGAGGGATGTGACTCACAAGGCCGCCGGCCGGTAGCTCAGTCCTGCTTCCTGCCCAGAGGTGCCGGCCTTGGGCGGGGGTGGCAGCGTGGGTGAGGTCCTGGCCAGACACGGTGTGTGTGGGGGAGGTTGGCCACCCTGTGTCCTCGCTCACAATCCCAGCAATTTGCCAGCCAGCCTTCCATCAGGGGCTCGAGGCCAGCTCTCATTAGGATGACCACACCCGCTAATGGGGCTTTAGCCCCGGTGTGCTTTTCCTTGGGGAGGGTGGGGTGTTGGCCAGGCCTGGGGCTGGAGGCAGGACCCGGGACAGCCCGGCTGAGCCGGGCTCTGCAGAGGGAGGAGGCTGGTGGATGCTGAAGGAAGCCCGTCCTGCCTATTCCTGGGCCCCAGCTGCCTTGCCCGGCGCGATTTCGGGCCAGTTTCTCCCTCTCCTGGGCCTCCGTGTGCCCTCTGTCCCACAGCATGTGCCCTGGGATCTGACATTCCAGGAGTCAGCAGTGCCTCGGACATGCCCCCCCCCCCCTTTTGCCCCCTGCCCCACCGGGAGGCTCTGCCTCTGCAGCCCGACCTGGGTCAGATCAGCCCTGAGCCTCCTCTGGGCCTCGGTACCCCAGACCTTCAGCCCCCCTCGCTGCCCAGGCCAGCTCTGACTCTGAAGTGTGTGAGCTCCCCACTCCCACTGCTTTCCTGGGCCCGGCCCCGGCATGGCCTGCCCTGTGGGGAGATTCCAGAGCTGGCGCTCGGGACCGGCCGCCTCCTCCTTCCTGGGCAGAGAACTGCTCATTACAGCCGGTGCCGATCCTATCGCCGTCCTGCCCAGGCCTCCTCGGGGCTGGGAGGAGGTGTCCTGGTGTCAGGCTGAGAGCTCCGGTCCAGTTGCCATTCGAAGGCGGGGAAACTGAGTCCCACAAAGGGCGGGGACTTAACCAAGGTCACCCCAGAGTGTGGGGACTTAACCAGGCTCACTCTGGGGCGCAGATGGGACTGGAGGCCAGGCCCGAGAGCTGGGGCAGCTCGAAGGGACGCCTTCTCTCCCAGAGCCCGGCTGAGGGCAGCCGTGTGTGACCGCGGTGGCCTCGGGGCCTGGAGTCCAGTTATCACGGCCATTGCACAGCCAGGGAACTGAGACCCCGACGGCAGGGACTGAACCCCCCCTCCCTGAGGCCAGGCTCGGTCCCAGCGGAGCCCAGGACAGCGGGGCTCCCTGGAGTGGGGTCTGTGTGGCGGCCGCACAGAGTAGGGGGGTGGGGGAGGGCAGGCAGTAGGAGGCTCATGTGGGTAGCTATCCCCGTGACCTCAATTCGGCCTCGAAATCATGCCCTTCCCGACCGCCGGCAAGTCCCTCCTCTCGCCCGGCCTCCGAGGCCCTCTGACGCCCGCTCTGCCTGCAGCCGCCGCGGGCCAGCTTCGCCCAGGCCCAGTTTGACTTCTCGGCCCAGGACCCCTCCCAGCTCAGCTTCCGCCGCGGCGACATCATCGAGGTCCTGGAGCACCTGGACCCGCACTGGTGGCGAGGCCGGTTCTGCGGGCAGGTGGGCTTCTTCCCCCGGAGCTACGTCCAGCCCGTGCACCTCTGACCGGAGCAGGCTGGGCCGAGCCTGCAGACCACCGGCCACAGGACGCTGAGTCCAGAGAGACCGTGGACGCCCCTCCGGGCCCCGGGCCGGGCCCCGCCTCGGTAGGGACGCGGCCTCTGACGGCCCGGCCCAGCCCACTGCTCCACACGAACCCAGGGGGCCGCCCGGGTGCCACAGCCACACGATGTGCCCGCTGAGCAAAGGCGCTCCCGTTCCCGCCCGCCTCTCTGCACTGGTCACCAGCACTGTGACACCCGTCAGGGCCCCACCCCCTGGGCCCGCCCGCCCCTCTCTCTAAAGGACCCCGAGGTGTTGGCTAGTGGGGAGGTGGCTTCAAGGTGAGGGATGGCGCGGGCGCTGCACCCCCGGTGGCCTGGCTCACTGGACAGACCTGGTGGAGACCAGCTTCTCCGGAGCCCGCCTGGGCCCCGACACCGCGGTGAAGGCAGTGGGGCAGCTGCTTCTCACAACGGTCAAGGCCTGAGGGGCGAGCCCTGGACGCAGCCGCCGAGGAGGCTCAGTTCAGGCCCAGGCTCTGCCCGGGCCCAGGAGCCGGGAGGACCTGCGAGCCAGGGGGAGCAGGGCCTGGGCTGGAATCGGAAGCCCAGCAGCATGGGGAGCAGCCTGGGGGGTCCCAGTAGAGGATGGAATGTGCCCCCAGCAGGGGGTTACTAGGCCGCGCCTGCCCGGAGTCTGGGCACCTTTGGGTGCAGGAAGAGAGGGGAACTCGGAAGCAGCTGGGATGCCAGGCTGGGGTGGGGGGCAGTGAGCAGGGGGCCCCTCTGGCCCTGGAAGCAGATGGAACAGTGGGGGGCTCTCCCTCCACCCAGGGGACCTGACACCCCCAGGCCCTGAGCTCTGGCGACGGTGCTGCTCCTGCCCTGGACCCACGGACGCAAAATAAACACAGTAACACAGGGCGGGATGTCCACGGAATCCCAGTTCTTGCCAAATGACGACCGTTGTTGAAGTGTCACATTCTCTTCGCCCACCCCTGCCTGATGGTTCAGGCTCCCGCCTGCTGGCCGGGCCGTCCGGGGCACGGACCCGCCACACGCCCGGTGTCCTCAGCAGGGAAGGGACGGTCAGGGCCCGGCCACGTCAGGCGAAGTAGGCATAGAAGAAGATGTTGACGCACATGAGGAGGATGGCATTGAGGCCACAGACCCGGGCCCAGAAAGCTTGCTTCTGGCTGCCACCTGGCACGGGTGGGAGAGAGGGGCCGCTGAGTACCTCGGGGCCACCCCAGGGCCCGGTGGCTCCGAGGCCCAGCCCCAGGGAGGGCGTGAGAGGGATGCCCGGGGTCATGGGCGTACCTGTTTTGGCTCCTGGGAGCAGGTCCCTTTTGAGAGTCCACCAGGTAAGGTTCTGGATCTGCAGGGAATGGGAGGGAAGGGGTGACAGGACGGGACGGTGTGGGGGGCTGGGAGGGGACTCAGACAGGACCAGGGCTCAGTGACGAAAGAGGGCAGCTGAGTGCCAGAAGGGCGAGAGACCAGGGCTAGGTCCAGAGCGGGAAATTCTTGCACCAGAGAACTGGGACTGGGTCAGAAGTTGGGAAGGGGCAGAGCCCAGGGCGGGCAGGCTTACCTGCGCCCCGGGGGGTGGGGGCGTCAGCAGGCTGCCGGCCACCACCACGGCCCCGCTGAGCGCGAAGAGGGCCACGGCGAAGTGCAGGTAGTGGATGCTGCTCAGCACGGCAGGCCGCGTGTCCGGGACGCCGCAGGGCAGGGTCGGGTGCAGGAACTCCAGGACCAGCCTCGTGGCGCCCACCGCCAGCCCGACCATCAGGCCCCAGAAGGCGCCCTGGGGAGGCAGGGCAGCGGGGCCGCTGGTTAAAGGCCCAGAGGCGATCCGGGCCCGGGGCACCCATCCCGGGGGACCGAGGAAGAGCCGCCGGCCGGCCCCACCCACTCTCCTCGCACCCCCCCTCCTCGCACCCACTCTCCTCGCACCCGCTTTCCTCGCACCCCCCTCCTCGAACCCGCTTTCCTCACACCCCCCCTCCTCGAACCCGCTTTCCTCGCACCCCCCCTCCTCGAACCCGCTTTCCTCGCACCCCCCCTCCTCGAACCCGCTTTCCTCACACCCCCCCTCCTCGCACCCACCTGCTCGTTGGCGCGCCGCCAGAAGACGCCCAGGACGAAGACGGCGGTCACCGGGGGCGCCAGGGAGCTGGTCACCGACTGCATGTAGATGAAGAGCTGCCCGCTGTTGGCGCCCTGCAGCACCGGGATCCAGGCCACGCTCACGCCGATCAGCACCACGATGACCAGCCTGCGCGCAGCGGCTTCGTCAGGAGCCCCTTTCCCCCGGCCCCCCCCCCCTGCCACCCACTCCGAGCCGTCCAAGCCTGCACCGGCCAGGAGCCCTGCTCCCACCCCCCCCCCACCCCCCCGCCACCCACTCCGAGCCGTCCAAGCCTGCACCGGCCAGGAGCCCTGCTCCCACCCCCCCCCCCCCCCCCCGCCACCCATTCCGAGCCGTCCAAGCCTGCACCGGCCAGGAGCCCTGCTCCCACCCCCCCCACCCCCCGCCACCCACTCCGAGCCGTCCAAGCCTGCACCGGCCAGGAGCCCTGCTTCCACCCCTCCCCCCCCCCCACCCACTCCGAGCCGTCCAAGCCTGCACCGGCCCCTTTGGGGTCCTCCCACCTCCCTTCACGCGAGGCCTCTCCACGCAGCCGCGCTTCACCTGTCCATTCCACAGCTCTTCAGCAAGAGCCCCGAGACACCCCCCCCCCCCCAGCACGGGGGCACTGTGCTGGGAACCCCCCCCCCCAGCACGGGAGCACTGTGCTGGGAACCCCCCTCCAGGGAGTGCGGGGAGCACTGTGCTGGGAACCCCCTCCCCGGGAGTGCGGGGACACTGTGCTAGGAGCCCAGACCTATAATGAGGGCCCTGGTCAGAACTGAGCAAAAAAGCAGATGAGCCTGTCACCCAGTGACCTGCGCTCAGGGCTGGGCTCAGGGAGCCAGAGGAGGCTTCAGTCTAGGAGGGCTCCAGGAAGAGGGCCGGGGCCTGGAAAGGCGTGCAGCTCCGCTAAAGGGACGGGTTGGGTGAGGTGTTCCGTCTACTTTCCCTGGCTGAGCCCCTCACCCTGTGCCAGCTGCATGCCCCTCACCCCTAATGGGGGGGATGAGACCTCCTGGAGCCTGCCCAGCACAGGAGCACTGTGCTGGGAACCCCCCTCCAGGGAGTGCGGGGAGCACTGTGCTATTTCCTTCTGCCTGGAGGCGTGACCCGGGCTCAGTGTGAGCTGGGCGGGCCTGCCTCCCTTTTCCTTCCTAGGCCTCAGGGGGAGGCGGGCGGGAGGAGGAGCCACAGTGATGAAGGCTAATTACCCCTCAGCCTGGCAGGCACAACCCTCCCTCTCCAAGTTGCAGGCAGGCTCCAGAGACCCCTCCCCCCACCTCCCCACACACACACACTCACACACACACACACACACACACACACACTCACACACACACTCACACACACACACACACATATACACACACACTCACACATACACTCACACACACACACATATACACACACACACTCACACACACACACATATACACACACACACTCACACATACACTCACACACACACATTCACACATACACACACACATTCACACGCTCACACACTCACTCACACACATATATACACACACTCACACACACATACACTCGCACACACACACATTCACACATACACACACACATTCACACGCTCACACACTCATTCACACACACATATATACACACACACACACACTCACACACACACACACTCACACACACACATATATACACACATACGCTCACACACACACACATATACACACACACTCACACACACACTCACACACTCACACACACACTCACACACACATTCACACACACACTCACACACACACTCACACATACACTCACACACTCACACATACACTCACACACACTCACACACACTCACACACACATTCACACACTCACACAAACACTCACACACACACACATATACACACACACTCTCACACACACACACACTCACACACACACACACTCACACATACACTCACACTCACACACACTCACACTCACACACACTCACACACACACACTCTCACACACATATATACATTCACACACACATACACACACACACACACATATGCAGGCTCCCAAAGCCCAGCAGCAGCCTCAGCACCTGCCCAGCTCAGCCTGGGTGTGCGCCCTGCTGCCCGTGTCTTCCCGTCTCTGTTATTTACAACCAGTGCGGAGGCCTCCCTGCACCTGCCTGGATCTGGGCAGTCTGGGGATCCTGGGAGACCCAGAACTCCCCCCCCACCCAACCTGAGGGGCTCCCCTAAACCACACTGCACCCAGGCGCACGGAGGGCAGTCATCCTGTCAGGAGTGTTGTGGGTGGGGAAGAGGGGGAGAAGCATCGAACCCCCTTAGGCACGTAGGATGATGCTCAGACAGGTGAGCCACCCTGGCCAGGGCTGGGTTTTTCTGATTCAGCCACCACCCAGCTGCCAGGGGAATCCCAAGGCCAGACTATTTCCTTCTGCCTGGAACACCCTTCTCCCTCCCTGGCAGCCCCCATCTCCCAAGGCCCAGCTCAGGGCCTTTCTCCTCCAGGAAGCCCCTACCTCCTCCCCTACAGGGCTGACAGGATGCTGCCCCTCCGTGCGCCTGGGTGCAGGGTGGTTCAGGGAGCCTCTCGGGTCGGGGGGGAGGGAGCTCTGGGTCTCCCAGGATCCCCAGACTGCCCAGATCCAGGCAGCGACGAGAAGACAAGGGCAGCCGGGGAGGGACACAGGAGTGAAGGCGGGGAGTGGCCTGGGCTGGCAAAGGTCAGGGTCCTAGAGGAAGAGCTGTCCCAGCCCCTGGCCTGTGACACCACCTCTGGCACCACCCGCTGCTGAGCCCGGCGCCAGCATGCCCCTGCCGCCCGCCCCGCGGCCTCCTCCTGGGCTTCTGGGAGTGCCAGGGCCGGGCCGGCTCAGCCCGAGTGCCGGCCTTCCTTTGAATCCCATTCCTCCTGGGACTGAGGCCGCAGCTCCGACCCCACAGGGGGCCACAGAGTGAGCGGTGCTGCTGGAGGCACAAAGGGGCTGGCGGTGTGGGAGCTGAGCCTGGCCCTGGGCCCTTTCCACGCCACCAAACCGGCCGCTGGGAGCGCTGACACCAGAGAGGGCGCAACCTGCCCGACAGCCTGGGCCGGAGGCAGGGAGGCGGCCAGGGGCGGGGAGGCAAGGGGCAGGCAGAGCGCTGACGGAGCATCTGCAGGCAGAGGCGAAGCTCCTTGCTGGGAGGCTAGGCCTGCGGATGAGCTCATGCCTGCCAGCTGCCGCGTGTCCCAGCAGCGCCCGTCCCACTGGAGCCGGCTTTGCATCACCGGGGGCCGCTGCCTGCAGCCCTGGGCCCGCCCTGCCGACGGCGCCACGGCACAGGGTGCAGGGTCAGAAGGCTGGGCCCTCACCCCGCAGGCAGGAGCCGTGTGGCTCAGTGGGAGAGGAGGTGAAACAGTGGGACACACACTTGGAGGCCACGTGCTCAGCACTGCTGACCTCCCCGGGAGCAGCCCTGCCCGCCGCCGGGCTGGGGTGTGACCGACGGGCATGACAGAGCCTGCAGTCCCCTGTGGGAGGCGTTGCGGGCAGAGGGGCTCATTCTGGGTCAGCGTACCAGGGAGGGTTGGGGGGGGACTGGGGTGAGGCCTGAGGCAGTGGGCCCGCAGGCTAGGAGAAGATGGGCAGAGGGCAGGGGCCCGGCACGGGCGGAGGACAGCGAGGCCTGAGCGTGGCCGTTCCTGCGCCTGGCGGGGCTCCCTGTGGAGCAGGGTCAGCAGCAGGCTAGGGGCTCAGGTTTGGGGATGGCAGAGGACCTCTGGGGGAGGGCGCCCTCAGAACTGGGGGCAGGGGTGCACCCAGGAGGAGCGGGGACTGTGAGGGCAGGAGACAGTGGGAGGCGGGATGGACAGCACTTCCCCGCCTCTTCTCTCCTTCCCGGACAAACTCCTATTCATCCCTCAAAGCCCCCTCTGGCGGGCCTCCCGGGCTGGGCCCGCCTCTCCTGGGCTTCTGGGGGTGCCAGGGCCGCACCTACCGCCCCACCAGCAGCAGCTCCCGCTCGCCAGCGCGCGGCCGCAGCCGCCTCCAGATGTCCATGGTGAAGAGCGTGCTGCTGCTGTTGAAGATGGAGGTCAGCGACGACATGAGCGCGGCCATCATCACGGCGATCATCAGGCCCCGCAGACCTGCGGTCAGAGACGCTGCTGGCCGCCCGCCCGCCCGCCTCCCGCGGAGCCCTCCCCCTCGGGCCCAGCCGCCGCTGGGGGGGGGGGGATGCCCCTGGGAGGAGGCTGGAGGCGGACAGACATGAGGCCTGAATGGCGAAGCCGGTCCCCTCCGCCGGCTCTTCCCGGCCGTCAGCAGCCCTCGTGTCCACAGCCTCGCAGCCGGCGAAGGCCGCCGGGACTCCTGTGGCGGAGGCCGAGTGACCCGCCTGGCAGAGGGCACGGTGAAAGATCAGAGAGGGGAGCCCAGGTCCCACGGGCCAGCCGCAGAGCCCGGGGTGGGGACGGGGGTGTGTGTGGGGTAGGGAGGTCTGGGTGGCAGGGCAGGCTCAGCCTGGCCTCCTGTGTGTGGCAGCCCGGCAGGCCGGGGGCCCCTTTCTGGTTGGCTGAGGAGGAGATGTGGCTCCACGGGGAACAGAGAAGCCCACTGCTGTTGGCTGAAACGAGTGAGGCCCCTGCAGGGCCAGCCTGTGTGCAGAGCCTTCCCGGGTCCTGGCTGGAGAGGCTGAGTCACCTTGCTGCGTCTTGGTGCACGTCTGTCTCCGAGGCTTTAATGCTTTTCCTTCAAGCGCCTAAGGCGCCCCCCGCCCCCCCTGCACACACACCCCCCCCCACCACCACTCCCACAGATCCCGGTCTGCCCTCCGCCGCGCCCTCAGATAACCAGGGGCTCGGCCGTGCCGGTGCCCGGTGCTGCCGGCCCAGGTCCTGCCTCTGAGCAGAGGAGGGCATCAGTCAGGCTGGATGGGCCGGAAGGAAAGTGAGCTCAACAAAGTGTTTTCCCAAAAACATTTCTCACCCTCCTTTCCTCGCTCAGAGGTGGATGAACTCAGGGCTTACTCTCCACCCATTTCTCCGACAGGGAGACTGAGGCCTGGAGAGGGCTGTGGCCCAATGGCAGAAGCCCCAGAACCGGAGAGGGCGAGGCGGGAGGGAGCCCCACGCAGCCGGGACTGGCACGGGGCAGCTGGCGAGTGACGGTTTAATCCCAGCAGCGCTGAGGGTGGGTAGGTGTCACTATCTCCCATTCACAAACCAGGACACAGAAGCTCGGAGGGGGGACGGGACACGCCCCAAATATCACTGCCAACTGTGGAGCTCAGATCCAATCCCGCTCCAAGCCCTAACCGCCCTGGGCTGGGCGCCGGGGAGGAGGCGGGCGGGGCAGGCCAGGCTGCCCCGCGGGGGAGGGAGGTGCAGACCAGAGGTCTGAGGCGCTGGCTGCAGAGGGCCTCCTCTCTGCTCAGGTGGAGCCCCCGCTGCGGGGGCCTTGCTGCACCTTCTGCGACGGGGACCCCATCACCCAGGTCCCACTGGCAGGGCCTCTGCTGCCACGAGAAACAGGGACAATCCTAAGCCCGTCCCCTAGGTTTGCCCGCTGGCCCACAGGGTCTCGGGGGAGGCAGAGGTGAAGGTTCACGGGGCCTTGATCGCATGATCCCGCAGAGCGAGCATCGGGCTTGGGGCAGGCGGACGGGTTTGTGTGTCAGCCATGCCGCAGCCCTGGCAAGCCCTCCCTAACCCCGTGCCTGGCTTCCACCTGTCTGCCGCCGGTAGCTCTGCCTCGCAGCCTTCACGGAGAGAAGTGGCTTGCAAAAGCCTGTGGCACCCAGGGGGCCTGAGAGGGAACGTGGCCCCATTCCTCGGGTGACAGGACCAGCTCTGGAGGCAGAGTATCCAGGTTCAGACCAGCTTTGCAGCTCACTTGCCACGTGACCTTGGCCAAGTCAAGTAACCTCTCTGGGCCTCAGTTTCCCCATCTCTAAAATGGGGACCATAATAATGGCTCCCTGAGGTGAAGATGCAAGTTACCCGCATGGCATGTGAGTGTTTCCTGTTCCTTTCCTCCTTCCCCGATGAGCAGAGCGTCCTGCCCGGATGCCACACACCATCACACTGGACCCAGAGGGCCCCACGGCTCCCTCAGTGCCCGCCCCCCGGGCCCACCAAACCTCACCGACGGGCATCAGTTCCATGACCAGCTTGGGGTAGGCGATGTTGGAGCAGCCGATCTCGGCCCCGCAGGCCCGCAGGCACTCGGACGGCAGCACACAGCCCACGTCATCTGTGGGAGAGAGGCCCAGAGTTCCATGCCGCCCCCACGGCCCTTCAGACAGGAGCTCCCGAGGACCCTCTACACCAGGCGCCCTGTCACCCATGCCCAGACATCCCCGGGCTCATCCGGACTCAGGCCTCAGGGCTTCAGCGCAGCCTGGCCTTCCTGCGCTCTCTCCGCTGCGGGGGCCCTGGCCCTCGGGCTGACCCGGCTCTCCAGGGCCTTCCCAGGGGATGGGTGCCGCACCGGAAGTAACCTCTCTGCTCTCCTGCCCACCTCCCCTCCCACGTCTTCCCCCTGGTGACTGGAGATGTCTGTGTCTTGCCTCTTCCCATGGTGGGGGGTCTGGTGCTGCCGGGGACCTGGGCCTGCTGTGGGGCCCCCTCAGCACTGGGCACACAGCTCCCCCTCAGCACTGGGCACACAGCTCCCCCTCAGCACTGGGCACACAGCTCCCCCCCAGCACTGGGCACACAGTTCCCCCCCAGCACTAGGCACACAGTTCCCCCTCAGCACTGGGCACACAGCTCCCCCTCAGCACTGGGCAGGCACACAGCTCCCCCTCAGCACTGGGCACACAGCTCCCCCTCAGCACTGGGCACACAGCTCCCCCTCAGCACTGGGCAGGCACACAGCTCCCCAGGTGGGTGAATGGAAGCATTGGAATGTCTCAGCCTCAGCCCAGACCTGACCAAACCCCAAGTCCGGGCTCCCTATCGGGCCAGGAGCAGAACCGCCTGGGGCAGGACCTCAGCACTGTGGGCGCTGTGGGGGGCCCTGGGGCCTGGCTCTGGCTCTGATGGGGTTCCCGGAGTGGGGGGGGTTGGGGGGGGTCTGCTCCTCCACCGCCCACAGCAGCTGGGTCCCTCTCTGCAGGGCTCAGCAGCCCAGTATGGTGACAAGTAGCACCAACCTCGTGCTCACTTGTTCCTGCAGGAAATGCTTTTTAAAAATATGTTTTATTGACTTTTTTAGAGATAGAGGAAGGAAGAGGGCTAGAGAGATAGAAACATCAATAAGAGAGAAACATCACCAATCGGCGGACCCCTGCATGCCCCCCCGCTCTGTCTGCCCCACACCTCTGCTTGCTCTGCGGGGACCCGGGCACGTGCCCAGACCAGGAATCGAGCCAGTGACCTCCTGGTTCATGAGTCGATGACCAACCACGGAGCCATGCCGGCCAGGCAAAAACACTAAAAGGCCTTTGGCTTCGCTCCCGGGCTCCGCTCCCTGGGGCTCGCAGAGGCACGGAGTGCGGAGAGAGCCGGCGCTGGCAGGGAGCTGGAGCAGAAGCCACAGGTGACCAGCGGGAGGGAGGAGCTGAGGGCGTGGAGGCCTCAAGTCCCCAACAGCAGCTGTTTCCCCCAGACTCCGCCCCCCCCCCCGGGGAGTAAGCACTGCCCCCTCCACATGCCCCTTCTGAGAAGTCCCTCCATAGATGCCCACGGCAGGGGCAGGGCGAGCCTCAGCACCCTTCCCCCAGCCCTAACCCCCACGGCCCTACAGCCCAGCTCTGCCAGCCTCCGGAGCCCCAGGTTCCAGGACACCGGCTCCCTGTCATCTGCCAGGCCCCCATCACTCCGGGTCTAATCAGATTTGTCCCTCCGCCTCCTTACCCAGTGATGGTCCTGCCTCCCTCTGCCCTCCCCTCCCCCAGCCCAGCCCACAGCTTCTCCACCGTCTCCCCTGCTCTCCACCAGCAGCTCCTCGCTGCCTCCCTCCCATCCCATTCTCTCCATCCTTCTGGTACCACTGACTTCTCAGGATGCCTCCCCACCCCAGCACCGCCCACCCGGCTTCCTGGGGAAAGTCCTTTGCGCAGCATTTGGCTGGTCCCAGCCCTCCCGGACCTGTTTGTTTTCACACACACCCAGCATCTCGGCTCCTCCACGCCTGTGGCCTGTGCCGTCGCCTCCGCGGTGCTCCGTCCCTGCCCTTGTTTACCTCCTGCTCCACGGCCCATTGCAAACAGCCGTCTCTGGGGCTCCCCGCCTCCCTCCCTCCCTCCCACTCCCCGGGCAGAGTAGCTTCCTCCTAAGGACTCCCAGGCCCAGGGTTGAACCACAATTGTCTGTTGCATTTTTGCCTTCCCTGCCAGACTGGGCGTCCCCGAGGGTGCACGATGGGTCTGAATCACTTCCCTGTCTCCGGCTCAGGGCGGGCCGTGAGAGACTGTCTCTGAACATTTGTGAATGAGTGAGGAAGGAGGAAAGGCACAGGAGAAAGAGAGAGAAAGGAGTTCAGGGACTGTTGGATCCAGCTTCCCTCCCCACCACCCCCACCCCCACCAGCTGTGCCGATGGGAGCGCTCCAGCACAGAGAGGGGCTTGCCTGGGACAGTCAGACCAAGGACAGAGCTCAGGGCCCGGCAGGACCGGCCGAGGGGACGGCCCCTCCCAACAAGTCCTGGGCTTGGCCTGGCTGGCCCTGGTGCCTGAGGACCCGGGCCTCCTGGGCGGGACAGAAGAGTCACAGCCACATAATAGCTCAGAAAGCCTGAGTCAGGAGGTTCCGCTGCGTTTATGCAGCTGCTGCAGGTGCCGGCACAGCACCGCCCGGCCGGCTGCTCCCTTCACCCGCTGGTGTTTGTGCTGAACCTCAAGAAAGAACATCCCTCCTTTATGACAGCAGCGGAGGTGTCGCCACGCAAACAAAGGCCCTGAATGTGCCAGCTCAGGACTGCACCGTCCCAGACAGTGAGGGCCCGGGCGTGGGCGCCTCTGGGTGCGCCGGGGCACCAGCACAGTGGACGGAGGAGCCGCCCGGGCCTCCATCGGCACAGCACCCGCACCAGCCATGGGCCCACACAGAGGCTGGGGGTGCTCCTCTCCTCCCCCCAGGCCTCCCTCCCTGCAGCCAATGCCAGGGGCAGCTCTGGGCTGAGTAGCCAGGGAACCGCACCACCTCGTTCTGCACGGCCTTGTGAGCAGCAGAGGGGACTCCCCACGCCACCGCGGCCTCCTCCTCCTTGCTCACACTCCCCGTGCCTCTCCGCCCCGCAGGGGGCCAGCCAGCTCCACCCCTACTCCACGGTGCTGTGTCTGCTGTTCCTTCTCCCGGTACACCCTTCCCTCCTGCCTGACCCAGGAGCACATGCTCCTCTCACCTCCGTGGGTGTCTGGGCTCCTGAATCTAGGGCAGCATCCTCCATGACACCAGCGCCGTGGCCAGTGTCTGCCCTGCTCCCTCCGGCCCGGGGCGGGGCCAGGGAAGCCGGGGCCCAGCAGTGCCCACACAGCAGATGCATGGCAGGCTCTGCTGGTGTTGAAATGACCCCTTCCCGTGCCGGCCACCGGGAATACCACCCCGAGGGCTAGTCTAGCCCCCTCCCCCCAGGCCTGCCCTCCCTGGGAGCCACCCGGATGTGGCGTGCAGCTGGGAGCAGAGGGCAGGGCCAGCGGGCTCAGTCCGGCTCTCGGGTCCCTTCCTCCATGGTCCTGGGGGAGCTCCCTCTCTGGGGCTCTCTCCTCTGCGAAGCCTTTCTGGGACATCCGTGGCCACAAACTCAACTTCAACTGAAACTCACACAACAACTAATTCAAATAGATCAAAGATTTAAATGTAAAACTATCCAACGTTCAGGAGAAAAAAAGATAGGAAGCTCGTTGCAACCTAGGGCACGGGGAAGCATGTTGAATTGACATGAAAAGCAATGGCCCTCGGAGGACAGTGGGAGTGAGACTCTTCACGATGCACCGTCTTTGCTCTGCGTAAGACGCCTGTGGAAAGGACGGAAGAAAAGCTACAGAAATGACTTTAGTCAGGTTTTTGAGTACAAAATCAATGTACAAAAAACCCGGTGTGTCTACACTAACAACGAACTATTATACCAGAGAAATCCAGAAAGCAATCCCATTTACAAGTACAAAAAGAGTAAAATACCAAGGAACACATTTAAGCAAGGAATGAAACATCTGTGCCCTGAAAACTTACAAGCCACTGTGGCAGAAACCCAAAGACACAGGTAAACGGGAACTTGAGGTCCTTGGGGCGAGGAGAATGCGTGTTGTTAAATGTAACACAGCCTAAGGCAGTCTAAGACTCAGGGCGATCCCTATCAAAACTCCAGTGGTATTTTTCACAAAAACAGAGAAAACAATTTTTAAATGTTTGTAGCAGACCACAAATACTTCAAATAGCCAAAGTGATCTTAAGAAAGATAAGCAAAATGGAGGCATCCCATTTCCTGATTCCACACTGCATTACAGCCCTGGCCAGTGTTCCAGGTGGTTAGAGCGTCAGCCAGTGCATGGGAGGGTTGCGGGTTCAATTCCCAGTCAAGGTCACATACTGAGTTGCAGATTTGATCTCTGGCCCTGGAAGGAGTCAATGTGCCTCTCTCACATCAATGTTTCTCTAACTCCTTCCCCCTCCCTTCCACTCTCTCTAAAAATTAACGGTAAAAATATTCTCAGGTGAGGATTAACAAAAACAAACAATAACAACAAAAAAACAACTGTATTACGAAGCTATAGTAATCAAAACAGTACAGTATTGGCACAAAAGCAGATGCACAGATAAATGGAATAGAATAGAGAGCCGAGAAATGAATTCATACTCCGTCACTTTACAACAGAGAAACCAAGAATATACCACATAGTAGGGAAAGGACAGTCTCTTCAATAAACGGCATTGGGAAGCTGCATAGACACATGCAAAAGAATGAAACCAGCCGGGACCGGTTTGGCTCAGTGGATAGAGCGTCGGCCTGCAGACTGAAAGGTCCCAGGTTCAATTCCAGACAAGGGCATGTACTGTGGTTGCGGGTACATCCCCAGTAGAAGGTGTGCAGGAGGCAGCTGATCGATGTCTCTCTCTCATCGATGTTTCTAACTCTCTATCCTTCTCCTTTCTTCTCTGTAAAAAATCAATAAAATATATATATTTTTTAAATGAAACCAGAGCCATATCTTACACCGTATGCGAACATCCACCAACTCAAAACAGATGAAAGATTTGAACATAAGGCCTGAGACCATAAAACTCCGACAAGAAAACATGGGGTTAAG